ATATGACTCTCGTCTACAGGTGTGTGGCTGACTGGAGCAAGCCATATAAGAGTACCAGAAGCAGCAGGGTCACAAACCGCTCACATAATTCTTTGACTTGACAATGGTCTTGTCCTGCAGCTTCAGCCTCTTACAGTGCAGAAGTGGAAACATTTGTTCTTACTTGCATTCTCTTCAGTGATACGGACAGTAACAGGGGAGGGAGGGAGGGAGAAGAGACCCGCTAAATCATCCCTTTCTTTAACTCAGAGGAAAAGGAGAAACCCAGGAAGTGTTAACACTTACGTTTTACATGCATGAAGGGCACTAAAACTAGGCATATCGGTTCTATGAAATTAACTTACCAATAGCCGCACAGGGCTCACAGTTTCCAGTTCACCTTCTAAGTTCCCACGGTAACAAAAGTCTAATTCAGTTGATTATACAAAATCGTTTATGAAGTTGGGAAAATATTACAGACTGTATCACTGCAAACAAAAAGGCCCAGCAATACCACCCACTGACTGAGTGAAAACCATGCCTACTAAGTATGAGACCCCAGACCAACAAACCAAAATTGATCTGTGAGAACCTAGGCCCAGTTTGACAAGCAATGCAGAGAGAGGATGTTCCAGTTACTACCCTTTTTTAAGACCCTTAGTTTAACACAGAGGCCAGAGTGGACAGAAAGGGGCAAATTTCTGTCACCCTCTTCTCAATATAAACATTGCCTAGACCAAGCTAAAGAAAGGGGTCCTGTAGGACACGTGCACCTGTGTCACCTTTAGCTCTGTTCCAGACATCACTGGGTGCTCCTTCAGTTATCCCTACCTTCATGAATTCTCTTTCTTCCCTGTCCTCATCACTTTACGCCCCTCTCTGCTGTCTAGCTTCTTTTTCTATTTCTGCTGTTTTTTCAATTCTTTTTGGTCATGATTTTGTCTACAAGGAAGCAAGAATAAACTCTGATGCTGACAGCTACCAGATGGTCTCAACTACTTCTCTCCCCTCAGAAGTATGGCTACGCTCTTCAGCCAAGGGTACCCAGGTTTTGGCTCCTCTGGAGATCTCTTTTCCCTTCATGTATATAAGCTTGACCTGAGGATTTTGTGCTGAAATGAATACATTTTCTCGCTTATGCTTTAATGCTGTTCTCACCTGATAAGCTCGGCTCCAGGTAGTTTTAGAGAAAAATGGTTCATGAGGAAAACTGACTGGCGTAACCAAGGTTCCCAGCTGGGAAAAAATGAGAAAACTGCTACTAGCTTACCTGTGCCCATATTTTAAAAGGAATCTAGGCCCTTTAACTCACTGTCTCATTTCACCAATTTCAGCTGTACCTAACAGAGACAGAATTCCCACTCGCCTAATTAAACTACATTGTGATATGCACGTTACCTTGCCAACCTCACCTATTTCCATTCACTAAGCTGATACTGACCCCCTATCACATGTAAAAAGTATCATACAGATAGGAAATAAAGCCCATTTTTTGCAGAGAACCAGGCTTTTCTCTAACAATAATCACAGATTCCCAGCAATTTCAATTGACAGTGACTCAAGATAAAATTCTAACATCCAATCTTCAGCTGAATTACTTTCAAAAGTCATTGCAACTGAATGTGCAAACAGACACTGGTTGTGCCAGTTTTGATCAGTTAGAATACTGTATTTTACTGATCAATAGCCACATTGCTTCCTCTCCATCCCAGCCCGAAATTAGGTTGCAGTGACTGTGCACATCTATTCGTAACAACTACTATTCTGTCTACTCTACTGCTTCAATGTGGGGGTACTCCCACATACAGGGATGTGGCAAGTATATGAGCAAATATAGTAAACTGCTACATTATCAGGTATATGTGATGAGGCTAATCTGTCTATGAACAAAGACCCTTAGCAGAGAGGCAGCTGCCCTGGAAAAATGGTTTTTACCAGCGTAATCAAAGCATCTCCTCAAATGAAATAAGTCACATTAGAAAAAGAACTCCTTTGCCAATATAAACGGCATTTCCATGATGGATGGAAAGGTGCATGTGCCGCTCTGTAAGTTCAGGGGTGTAATTCTTGCACATTCTTGACCAAAATAGCTACATTGCTAGCAATGTATGGTGTGGAGCTGGCCTTAATTTAGCATTTTCTTGAAAAATGAAGAAAATTTAATACTGCACTTTATTATGAAAACATGTCTGGCTTAATCAGACTAATGTTATCTGGTTATAGTAACTATGTATTTGTGAACTACTCAAGTACATAAGGTGAGAAGAAATTGATGATTCAGCCATTGAGACGCTGAAAAATATTATTTGTTTAGTTCTCACTTACGTGAAAATAAGCTTGGATTTATACTAAAATTGCTATGGTAATAGCTGTTGCAAGTTATGTACAACAGAGACATCTACACGTAATGCCTGTAATTGCTTCTGTAATATAAAAATATGGTTACCTTATTTTGCTATTGTAATGCAGTTTATTTAACTGAGCACAAAGCTGTGACTCAGTTAAAAACACATTGCCGTCAGAAATCATTTCATTTTTCCCTACCAGTGAAAGAAAAATAAAATAAGTTCCAGCAAGAAAATTGTGAACTAGTTCACAGAAAAAAGACTAATCTGAAGTAAAACCACAGAATGAGAAATTCTGCGAAATACCTGAAGACAAAAACAGGTAATAAGTTGAGCAGAAGCTAAGTGTGATACTGTTATTAAAAAGGAAATGATTATATTATAATGAGATGTATTGTCGGAAATAGCAGAAGGAGACCAAATAAAGCATTGAAATTATTCCACTTTATTCGTATCTATCAGCCTGACAAAATAGATTTTATAAAGACAAAATAATCAAGAACAATAAAACAACAAGCGGAAACAGCTTAGAAATAAAGCCTAGAAGTAAACATCACTGATGTAAAAAGATCAAATTCCCTATTTTCTGACGCCCCGAAAGTATTGCAACCCAAAGGACGATAAAAAATGAATTGAAGAGAGCAAGAACCAAGATTTTCATTAACCCATTAAGACAGATGTAAAAGTAATAGTTAGTAGAGTAAGTGTAAGCAAAATATTATGGAAAACCAAAAGCCACGTTTCCCTCGTTCACATTAATGCTGTATCACTGTTTCAAAAGAGTAATTCCTGGTTTACATGAACATAACTCCATAACTCCATAACACCCATAATTCCAAGTCCCTATAACTCTAAAAAGAGGCGGGCAATTTAACAACATGCAAGTAGCACCTATAGAGTCACCAGAACTACTGAAAGCTAGACATGAGCACCATCAATAAGAGTACTGCAGGAATGACAACAACATTGCACTATGCAGACAGGGCTAGGTGACCTACTAGACACTCTTTCAACCCAAAAGATTTTGTGAAGAAGTTGCAAGCTTAGAGTCAGAAAAATCTATTTTAGTACTTCTGCTTTTTAACAGAAAATTAAGCTTGGAAAACACAGTAACACGTATTTTCTAGGTTATGCAACTTAGGAGGGTGCCTTTCAATTCTGCACTCACACAACCCAATTTTTCTCCAGTCTGGAAATAAAAAAGTAAGCAAAACCACTAGGGAAGCATAAAAACTAGGTGAGGAATTAATTTTCCTGATTTGGAAGCAATGGTTAGACATGGTTGGCACGCTGCTGCTGGGAAATGTGATGTGCTAGCAGCATCAGGAAATATTTACCTTTATCCACAATGCCTTTACCAGGCATTATGGATAGCGTTGAAGGCTTCAGTCCTCTAACTTAGCTTTTCTCTGATCACATACCTGACAAGAAGTTGCCCATACTGTTTGCAGCTGATACACCTTCCCAAAAATCTGGTCAGTACCATGCAAAGCATACCCCTGGGAATGAAGGGAATGAACTGGAACACGCAGAAGAGCAAAAACTGATTTCAAAGACTTAACTAAAGCAAAGTCTTTAGTTCAAAAGCAAACTACTATCTTTAAAAAAAAATAAGACAAAATTGACAGGAAAGAGAGCGTTTCCAGGTAGTAAGTAGGAATATGAGCCGTAAGTATCTATCAGACATAAAGGTTAGGACCCCAGGAACGCAGACAATTTTTGGAGCAGCATATCTATTTGACCTGCCATTTGGCCTGAAGATCATTGTTTTTGAATGGCTATCTCTGAGCAAAAGAACCTCCAGATCTCATTTTTTTCATGCACAATATTTTCCAGCTAGAATTAAAAACAAAATGTTTACATTAAAATACACAAACATCAGAGATCCTCCCAACAAATATTTTTTCCCGGAAGCACAACAACTTAAAATCACTGGTCCCAGGAAGGGATATATGCTCCATCATGTGACGATGCATGTTTGCTAATGACCAAAGAAATTATTTTCTGCAGAGATCTAAATGGGAAAAAGAACCCATAATATTCCTTTCACTGTAAAATAGATCACATCAAATAGATTACATCTCTAAAACAGATTACATCAAATCCAATCGAGGGTTTGACCCTAGAGCAAAACAGACTTTTGGAGCAGAAATAAAAACGAATGAACAAAAACCCTCAGAGTAATAGGCACGTGTCTTGGCCCAGCCCTGCTGTCATTAACACTGTTTGAAAGCTGAGTATCTCCTGGCAATGGACATCTGGCCTCAGGGAAGCTAGAAAGAAGCATATGACCGGCAGTATAAAAAGCGACTACTCACTTTCTGTGCATTGCTTTCTTGAAAGATTGGCAATCATGGATAAACAGTATTACTGCTACAGAAATACCTGTTAAACTAAAGAGCTTGCGTGAAGCAGGACGATGACGTGTAATAATAACTTCAAAAACTAACCCAAATTCTTATGATAAAGACTTCATCTAAATGTCATTAAAAAAGGACAATTTAAATGAACTAAAACAAAGAAGGCAGGGGAGAGGCAGGTTGAAGACCCTTTTGGGCCAGGCCCCATGCCTTAGCCTCACCTCAAGCCCTACCCTGTAGCCCAGCAGCAGCCCGCACCCTCCTCCGTGCCCGGTACTGCCCTGCCGCCGCTCTCCTGCCCCTCACTCACCACACACCAGGCAGCAGGGTGCTGACTGAGTACACACACAGAAGAGACCTTGTCAGTCTTGACGGTCGGACAGCACTGCCACCCCATGGTTCGGTATGAAACCCACAGCAAAAGCTCTGAGCTGTAAAAGGGATATTTAGTTTCCTATGAAAAAGGGAGAAACCAGACACAGTGAGTGAAGTATGAGGAAGAAAAAGGAAAGGTCAAGAGCACCAGGCAGCTACAAAGATTAAACAACACTCCCCTCAACTCACGGTCTAAGGGGTCTTAGGGATCCCCTATGTTTCCAGCTGGAAATTGCTTTCGGTCCTTGGTTGGCATCACAGCCTTTCTCTCGCTCCTCTGAGCTTGGGGAAAGGGTATCCTCAGAAGGTCTCTCCTTCCACTTCTCGGGAACTGGAGAAAGACTCCATCTGCTCAGGATGGCTAGGGTGCAAAGGGTGCCCTTTGATGTTAAAGCTGTTACCAGTTTCCCAGAGCTGAAGTTCATGAGAAAAGACCTCTACCCCAGCAGACCTAAGAGCAACAGAGGGCAAGAGAGACGGGGATCAAATTTACCGTCTCATTGACTAATGCTAACAAACACGTCAGTGAAGAGACATGTGCTGTCCTGAAGAGAATGTCTTTTCATGGGATAGCCAATCTTTTGGCATATACGTTAAGACAAATCCTACTGCCATTATTGATGCTATATTACCAAATCAAAGCAGACCTTATTACACTAAGCATTCCTCAATAACGCGTGGTCTTGTGGGGCATACCTTAGTGCCATTTAAAGAAAGTTCTAGGTATGTGTCTTTATAATCTGTTGCACTGGCTTTCAGGGAACTATTCCATGCAATAAAGTCACCTAGCTGTGTAACACTGAATCATACCCTCCTAGCTTTCTTATAGGGGGCTCAGTTAGAAGGAACACATGAGAAATGGAGAAGCAAGTGAGGAAACTATGTATTCTTCATTTGAGACCCAAACATTTCACTAAGAACCAGGCACTGAATGAAGGCAGAATTTCACTAGACTCTTTACTGATCTTTTACATCTGGTGTGAGCCTGGCAACATGAGCTTCCCGGCATGTGCTTCCTGGAGTCTCTCCCTCCCTCTCTGTCTCCTTTTGGAGGTGACTGACTTGAACTGTTGTGGAGGGTCTGACCTTGCAGAGCTGAAATGAAGGTATGAGGCAGGGAAGCCTGGTGTCTTCCTCCCCAGGAAAGCCAGGTCCTGGAGCATGCCAGGGTACTTCAATGCCTGAAGGGGCCTGTACGTTCAGACAGCATTATCAAATATGAAGCAGCTTTCTTTGTCCTTGACGCACAGAGATCCAGCCTGCTCCTGGTTACCGATGCTCAGGAACGTGCGCGTACACCGTTACGCCACCTCCCACGACCGTAGACACCCCCAGCAGCCGCTGTGGTGGGGCACGTCCACACCAGCTGCCTGCCCCACTGCACGCGGCATCTGCACCCGCCTCAGCTGCCTGAGCGGCACAGGTGTGAACCCCCACACACTAAGACAACGCTTACAGCCCTCTTGCTTTTTTAAGCTGATGCAGGTCACTGAACTGACAGCTCCCCGCACCAAAATCTCCCTGGATAAGCTTTTATGCCCTACTGCCAGCCTCGGGCGTGCACGCAAACAGTTAAGACCGCCAGAGGTATTCCTGCCAGCTTCCTTAGTCCCCTCCTGTGCCTCCCGAGTGCTATTAATACAGCAGGCACATGCTCTGGCAGCGACCAGATAACTTTAATTTGCCCTTTAAACGTCCCGAGCCCAGTGGGCCCCGGGCCTCCGCGGGGCAACATGGCGGCGCTGCCCCGCGCCCCCCGGCGGGGGCGGGCGCAGGGGGGGGTCCCAGCCCATGTGCGCGCCCCGGGGGGGCACCTCCTCCCATCGCGCGAGGCGGCCGGGGGGGAG